GGGTACTGTTTTGCAATCAAAGGTCTATTTCAGTTCTAAGGCCTAAAGAGAAGCTTAAAATGGCGGATTTCTCTTCTGTTCTCAGCAGCTCTCCTTACCTACATCTGCTTCCCTGAGCGGCAGACATCTTTTTTTAAGAGGCACATTTGAAAAGAAACGCAGCTGCACAATTTTCTTTCGCCCTTGTAAAACGCCACAGGCACAGCCACCTTCCACAAAGTGGTGGATCATGTTTAAACTATTTATACACATAATCCCATGTCAACATTATTATTTGGTCACATCCTTGGTTGAATTATTTTGAACCTTTTTGTAGTACATTATTGATCACTCAGAGAAGGACAGAGGATTAGAACTTTTTTTTTTGTAATAAAAGCATTTCACATCCTTGTTGCTTTTTTGTTTGCTGAGAAAAAGGGAAAAAGCTGCCTTCTGCACTATATCCAGAATTAAATACTAGTTGGTTTTGCATTAAACGGACGAATTCATGGTAAATAATAATTAAAAAAAAATCTGTATCCATCCCGTCACCATTTGTAGATCAGATGGTTATCTTTAGAAATTCTCAAAAAAGTTCAACTCAAAAGCACAAGAAAGTGCTCCAGAATGACAGCGCTTTTACAAACGCCACCCCACCGTTATTACATGTAACAACGCGCCATGAGACTGAAGGTCTGTTAACGCTTACATGTTGGCCCAGATGAAATACACGCAACTGTGAAGCAGTGACCCCTCCCCTGAAAAAGTCTCCGGTGCCCCCCTACCTCTGACCCCAGCCACAAGCAGAAGCCCCAGGCAGAGAGTGACGAGGGTCCCCATTTCTGAGAGTCCTCAGGGACCCCTCACCCAGACACAGAGGTTGTGGAGGGCGGCTGCCTCTCTGCTGCAGTTCCCTTCTGTCTGCAGGTCTCAGAGATGATTACATCAGTACCAGGCTTCTACAGAAGGAAAGCTGAAGCACAGCAAAAGCAAACAAGCTCCTTCAGTGGAAAATGTGGCTTACCGCAGCGCAAGTCTGGTGCGAACAAAAATAGAAAAACCCAAATCCCTGCACATTCAGCACAACCAATTGCTATTAATGATAATCACTACAAAATAATAAAATAATTATCCGTTTTTGTGAATAACTGTAACAAATTCAAAGTCGATCATAGTCTTGCATGGCTGGGCACAGAAAACAAAGCAGTTATGATTAGGGTCACCAAATACATTTTGAGAAAATACATATTATTGAATTGTTTAAAAAAATGGTTAACAGTTAATTCATTTTGCATACAAAAAACTGGAGGAATATGTATTTAATACAGTATGTATTTCAAAGGTTTAGAATATCGTTCATAATGCATATGAATTTACATTACATTTACATTAAGATTTTCCATGATGTCTCTCCAATAGTCATTATAAAAATTAAATACTTGCCTTTCATTATTTATAAAAGTCAGACACTCCTACAATATATTGAAGCAAAGCTTGTTTTAATAGTTTTGTTTTCCAAAAAGTAATTAAAACAAATAAATTCGTTTTACACACACACACAAAATACACTTTTAAATAAAAAGCTTTAAAACACATCTTCAATGTTGTTGAAAAACAAGGACTTAATCACAGTTGTAGCAACTGTTCATATAACTGCAACTGTGGTCTAATTTTACTATGTGTAAAGTCCATAAAATTTGTAGTTATTATGACTTTTAGCCTTTTATATCCACAGGATAAAGAAATACAAATATAAAAAGGTCACAGACTTTTAAACTACCCTTTAGCTACTTTATGTCATTTATGAAAGTCTGCAACATTCTGAAGGAAACTACTTAAAAACGATCT